GGAGCATTTACGTGATGAAAATACTTTAACACCAATCAACTACTAATGAAGTTGTTTCTGCTTTGATAGGAATTTGAATTATTCGAATGAACTATTTACAAGCAAGTCCGAGACAGGAGGAGGGGTACGTGCTTCGGATTTTGTTTTCCTGACAAGTGTAGACAGTTCACATTCGACCTACACGCCAATCCTTTCTGCTGAATGTAATGTCCAGATCTTTTAGGACTTTTAAAAAGTATATTTCCCATTCTTATATCTGGATAATTAGAAAACAACTGGATATAGTTTATGGATTAAAACCGACATTATTCGGGTTTACTAATCAGAAAGTTATGTCATTTCTAAACAATTTACTCTCTGTAAGTTCGAAATATCATTCTAAAGTTCAAGAGAGAAAATACTTATAGAATATACACTAATCAGATGAGTCAAAAAACAATTTGGAGACGTAAATGTGAGTGAGTGTTAAGTTCTCCAAGCCGTCTTTCCTCATTACATGTCCCACAAATTTTAACTCTTTTTTTCTGATTTTCAGTATAAAAGTCTTTCTAGTTTCCATTTTACATAACACTTCCTCGTTGTTTACATGCTCTGTCCATGGTATTCTCAGTGTCCGTCAGTTAAACCATGTCTCTGTCACTTTGATTTTCTTCTTCAGCTGGAAAGAAATTGTCTATTCTTCCCTGCCATAAAAGTGCATAAATATGATATAACTGTTCAGTACTCGTTTCTTTGTTTTCATCGAAATTTTACTTTTTACGTTCGCGGCTGACATGAAGTGGAAAGACCATATTGAATCCATTGCTAGGATTTGAAAGCGAAGAAAGTTGGTTCACTGTGACATGCTAGACTTTCTTTCTCCCCTGAATCCATCTTGCACATTTACAAGTCTACCATTCGTCCATACATTGCTGCCACATATGGTCTGGTTCTCCCGCTTTATTTATCTAGATAGCCTTGATAAAATTCAAAGAATCAGCAATATTATTGGTCCTGACCTGGCGTCGCTGCTTCAGTCATTTTCTCACCACCGTAAAGTGGCCTCCTTGTGCCTTTTCTATAAAGACAGTCATGACTTTCTGTCACCTGTGTGCCTATCAGTTCATTTCTTAAGAGAAACCGATGCCCCGTGTTTGTTTTTTAATCAACGCTTGTCCAGTTTCACCTCGATTTAACATCCATTCATTTATATTGACAATTGTTTTCTATTGCTTTTGTAACTGCATTAATAGCTTTTCCTCTGACTACCTACCAGCCGACAGAATCTCGTGTTAAAATGACCGAATCTGTCTTTCATCTTGTTTAATATGTCCATTTTCCCATCAGGCAATCATGAAAGAGAACATGAGGTATCATGTTAGTACATCGTAGACATAATAAAATAAAAAATTTATTGTTTTTGTTGATTGAGCAACATTTTCTTTTAAGTATTTCAGAAGTTAATGGTTTCGGACATGAAATCTAACATTATATTACTTTAGAAAAAATTACAGTATTTTAAAAAAAAAAAATTTTAAGCATCATCCTCATTAATTTATATGTGCAATTACGTTAATATTTGTGCATATATGACTGTTTATTATTTATACGAAGGTAAATCAAAAGTTATATGCACATTCGACATATCTTTCAGTTTATCACACTGCCTTCTCGCCATGCGTACTTATAGTTAGTACTATAGTGGTTACACGGTCGAAGTTTGAGATTGATCGTGCCAGTTTTCTTGCTGCTGTTGCAGTATAAACATGGCCGCTCCGCAAGCAGTGTGCACCAAAGAGCACTGATCCGATTTCTCTGGTCAGAGCACTTGATGCACGAAGAAGAAGCAGGACGTCCGTAAACCTCCACCACTGACGAGAAGATTCAAGTTCGAGACATGATAATGGCGAACTAGCGAGTTATTATCAATGAGGCAGCATGTACTCTGCAGTTTCGGGTCACTGCTCTTCGTTCCTTCTTGGTTCACACTGATAACGGAGCGGCCATGTTTGTACTGTAACAGCAGCAAGAAAACTGGTACAACCAAGTTCAAACTTCGACTGTGTAACCAAAATAGTACCGACTATAAGCACGCACGATCAGAAGTTAGTTTAAGAAACCAAAAGATTTGTTTTGATGAAAGTGCGGATAATTTTTTTACATGTGAATTTATCTTTGAATAAAAACTACGCTTTCTGATACACTCGTATATTAGTTTATTTGTGCGAAAGAGAGAAAAAAGGAGTGGAGCAATGATTATATGTTTATATGCAATCCCACTTGAGGCATGAACCAACTGTAACCTATCTAAATTACGACACATATTCTTTTCCATGGCTTTGATTAACCAAAATGTTTCTCTTTATTTGCTTGCCATATTTTTCCCGTTTCCACACTTTTAAAAATTGTTATTTTATATAAATTACGATTTCAGGTTACCAACTAGCAACGGAACAACTCCTTTCTCTGCGTCCTGGGTATGACGATAAAGTACATCCGGCAGCAAGGCATCTGATCGGGA